CTAAGTAACACTCCACTATGTACATATACCACATTTTCTTTATTTATTCTTCAGTTGAAGGGTATCTATGTTGTTTATAGGTTTTGCCTATTATAAATAGTGCTGCTATGCACATTGTTCAACAAATGCCCTTGTGATTTGGTTGAGCATCATTTAGATATATGCACAAGAGTGGTATTACTTGGTCTTGAGGCAAATTTGTGGTGATATATTCTTTATGATCTAATGAAGCCACTAAGGTTCAAAATGGTGTAACACGGTATCTCAGTCATTTTGATTGGCATTTCCCTGATGACTAAGAATGTTGAGAGATTCCTTAAATGTAATTTGGTCATTTGAGGTTCTTCTGTTGAGAATTCTTTTTAGAACTGTACCTCGTTTTTAAACTGGCCTATTTGGAATTTCGATGTCTAGTTTCTTAAATTCTTTATATATTTTAGAGATCATACCTCTGTCAGATGTGGGGTTGGTGAAGATTTTTTTCCTATTCTTCAAGCTGTGGTTTTGTCTTAATTATCTTGTCCCTTGCCTTACAGAATCTTTTCAGCTTCAGGAGGTCCCAATGATTGTTGCTCTCAGTGTCTGTGCTAATGGCTTTATATTTAGGAGGTGGTCTCCCTTGCCAATGTCTTCAAGTCTACTTTTGACTTTCTCTTTTACCAGGTTCAATGTTATTAGATTTATGTTGAAGTCTTTGATCCACTGACCCACTTTAACTTGAGTTTTGTGCATGGCAATAGATAGGGAACTATTTGCAATATTGTGCCTGTTAACATCCTGTAACATGTAGTCTTCCCTCCAACTGCCTGGTCCCTGCCGAGCTATCTGAACACCCAAATAACACACAAGACACTATATTAATTATGAGCTGTGGGCCATTTCCGTGATTAAGTATTTAACCCATAATTGCTAATCTAGGAATTTCCATGTGGTCTCCACTTACTGGAGGAAGGGACCAGACATGTTACTTCTCCCGCATACTACATCATGACTGCCTGTGCCTCTGTTTCCTAGGATCATTCTCGACTCCTAGTCCAACCTACCTTACTTTCCTATTGACCAAAATTGCTTTATTCAACAACCAATAAGAGATACAGATTTACTGAATCTTCCATCAACATCCCGTTATCCCAGTGTCGTTTGTTGAAGATGCATTCCTTTATCCATTGTACCATCTAGGCTGTTTTTCCTTTATATGAAGTTATTCTATGTTTTTGTTTTAATGAGTCAGAATAAATATTTTTGAACTTTGTAAGTTATTTTCTGATATTTTGTTTCCAGGACTGTAGTTTGAGTACTGGAGTGTAGCTTAGTAGGAGTGTTAGTTCTTGTCTAGAAACTTTCTAGAACGTTCTTTTTTCCATTGTATAATTTTAGCTTCTTTGTCAAAAATCAGGTGTTTTCAGGTTTGTGGGTCTATATCAGGTTTTTCAGTTCTATGCCATTGGTCTACCTGTTTTTGTGCCATTACCATGCTGTTTTCAGGACTATAGCTCTATAATAGAATATGAAGTCAGGGATGGTAGGTAATATCCCTGAAAGATCTTTTATTGTAGATGGTTGCTTTGGTTATCCTGGGTCTTTTGTTCTTCCATATAAAGTTGAATATTGTTCTTTCAAGTTCTGTGAAAAATTGTGCTGAGATTATGATAGGGATTGCTTTGAATCTGTAGATTGCTTTTGGCAAGATTGCCATTTTCACTATGGAGTCAACATTTATTTTGTGTTAGTACATGTTATTTAGTAGTTGTATATCAGTAGTACATGTACATAAAACTTACTTGGCTGAAAGGGAGTTTTCAAATTATAGTGGACTTATCAAGTTGTTTCAGTAAAAATGTTTTCTCATATGAAGTTGATGAAGATTACATACATTATATTGTAACAGTAGCTTGTGAATATTGCTCCTAAGATTAGCTCCAGGGTTCTGGTAAGAAGCCACATGATAGTGAAAGGAACTTAGAATATCTGTAATTTTGAGGTTTTACAGAGTAACTCACACATATGTGGTTCGAGTCATGTTCTTATTTCTTCTGCTTATTTTTCTGTCCTCTAATTTTCTTCTAATTCTTTCTAGTTCTCCTTTGTTTCAATTCTCTCTGCTACTATGTTTGCCTTGTTTAAAAACACTTTTGTAAAAGGTTTAAAGTAATAAAAATTGTTACAAGAATCAAATCTCATTGGCCATAGTATATTCCTTGGATAAGCAATTAAGGCAGAATCATTTGCCATAACAACACAAAATTTTATGTTTCTGGTGTAAGACTGTGCCCAGATCCCAGGGGCACAGGGCCCAGTGAGACAAGTGGTGATACATATTTCTTTTTCTTTTCTTTCTTTTAAATTTAAATTAGAAACAACCTTGTTTTAAATGTTAGTCCAAGTTCCCTCTCTCTCCCCTCCTCCCCTGTACCCCACTGAATCCTATCCCATCCCCTTATGCTTCTTAGGGAGTGTGAGGCCTTCAATGGGGCATATTCAAATCTGTCATACCATTTGAAGCAGGACCTAGGCCCTTTCCCATGTGTCTAACCTGAGAAAGTGTCCCTCTATGATATCCCCAAAATCCATTTGTGTACTAGGGATAAATACTGATCCATTACCATAAGCCCCATAGATTAACCAGATCTCCAAACTGACATCCACATTCAGGGTGTCTGGAACAGTCCTATGCTGGTTTCCTAGCTATCAGTCTGGGGTCCATGAGCTCCCCGTTGTTCATATCAGCTGTTTCTGTGGGTTTCTCCAGCCTGGTCATGACCCCTTTGCTCATCACTCCTCCCTCTCTGCAACTGGGTTCCAGAGTTCAGCTCACTGTTTAGCTGTGCATGTCTGCTTCTGATTTGATCTGCTATTGGATAAAGGCTCTAGAATAACGTAAAAGGTAGTCATCAATCTCATTATCAGAGAAGGGCATTTAAGGTAGCCTCTCCACTATTGCTTAGATTGTTAGTTGGGGTCAAATTTGTAGATCTTTGGGTATTTTCCTAGTGCCAGATTTCTCTTTAAACCTACAATTGCTCCCTCTATTATGATTTCTCTTTTCTTGCTCTGCCCTATTCTTCCTCTGATTTTATCTTCCTGCTTTCTCATGAAACATACTTCTTCTATCAACTATATATGGCAAACAAGGAATTAACATAATATTTTAAGGTTGATTTGTTTTAATAACCTTGGCTAGCCATTTGCGACACTGACCTTGTGAATAACTAAAGTTTTTTAACTTAAGATCCATCTACAGAAACATTTAGTCTAGTTTGAACTTGTTTTGGAGTAAAAATGAGCTAATTGTATGTAGTTTGTCTTGTGCTTAAAAACTGTTGCTTTCTGTCATAGTCTGAGTAAAAGGAACAAAGTAGGCTTTTAATTGTCTTACAGGTCTTGTGGGACAAAATATCTGGTTATGAATCATGTCTTAGTATATTTTCTTTATATTAAATTTATACAGTTGGTGAGAAATAATCTTCCTTGGCATCCATGGACATATATGCACATAAGATTGAGATGCAGTAATGAAATTACACAGTATATCATATAAAATTAAACACGACCGTGCAACTATTGGGGAGATGCCATAGCTGCTTTAGTAAATGTGAAATTACAGACAGAAGCAATGGTTTCATGTGGACTCTGCCTGAATGGGATTCTCAATGGGTCTCTGGCCAATATTGTGAGGAAAACAGACCTTGGCCACAGGCCTACTATTCTCCTCCATCAGAAAATCATTCTTCCAGTGGCTTGATATTTGAACACTAGTTGTTAGCTATTGTATACTTCAATGAACCTCAACAATATCAGAAAATGTGCATTCTATACACTCAATTTTGTGATCTATAAACTTGCTGTAGTTATGTTGAAGGGAAATTATATGAATGGGAGTGATTCCTTCTCTCATGTTTTATTTACTGCTTAAACTTTGATTATGTATTTTTTCATTTATCTGTATGTTCATTTATATGTATATGTATATATATGTATATATATATAATTTTTGAGATAATATTTCTTATTTACCAGACTGACCCCACAATCACAATGCAATTTTGAGCCTGGTCTTGATTTCTTGATCCTTCTCCCTTAATCTTCTTGGGCCTGAATCAAAACATGGCCAACAAATCCTTCTCTTACATCTTCTTTTGTATAGATTTGTTCACATTAAGTACAAAGACTCTACCAAAAAGGAAGTTTTATTAGAAGAACTATGTTTTTGTACATTGTTTTAGAATACTTATTTTTTTAATTGTGTTATGAATTGGGTTTTTCTACATTGGGTACTTGATGACATGTCATGGTTGCTTCTACCTATTGAAATTCCACTTCAGGGTTTGAAGCTTTTCATTTTATATTAAATTATGATTCTCACAATCATGCTTCCACTAATTTTATTTTTTCAAGAGCATATAATCCTTTATTGACTATTTTTGTTACATAACTGTTTGAGATTATACCATGATTCAGAAATACATACAGCACAAATACATACATGAAGGTTATTTTACATAAATATTTGAGAATTTCATACAATATATTTTATCACATTCATCACTTATCGCCTATCCTAACACCTTCAGCATTTAGATCTATTTTGTTACTTTCTCCCAACTTAGTAATTTCAATTTTAATCTCATGCAGACAATTTTGTGCTCTTTGGAAAGGGAGCATCCACTTTAGTCTGGGTAGAACCAGGAAAAGGTTATCCTTAAAGTAACTTATTTTCTCTCTTCAAGCACATACCAACTTGGAAAATCTTCTCAGTTAGGGTTAGAAGTGCATTATCCCATACTTGCTTGTGTGCTAAAATGTTGATTCCTAAAATTAAAGGTTGTTTCAATTTGTTTCTGAATTTCTATATGTCCACTTAAGTTTAGTTCATCATACAATGTTTACTTGACATGAGATACAATATTAATTATTATAATTGGATATTTCAGAAATAATGTTAATTATTCTGCTGGGCTGTAGATATATGCAACACATATGAAGAAACCGTGTCTGTAATTTTAGCTATTACTATATGTTAATAACTTAGTGTGTAATTTTCTCAGTGCTACCATGATGTCCTTATTCCTCAGTGTATAAATAATGGGATTCAACAGTGGGATCAAAATGGTGTAGAAAAGAGACAGCATCTTCCCCATGCTATCTGATTGATCTGACTTTGGTTGTGCATATGTGACAGTAGCTGTTCCATAGAATAAAACCACAACTATAATGTGAGATGAGCAGGTGGAGAAGGCTTTTGACCTTCCTCCAGCTGATGAGAGCTTTAGAATATTGCAGATAATCTTGCCATAGGAGACAATGATCAAGAGAAATGGAACCATGATAAACACCACTGAAGCCACATAGATTGCTAAATTATTCACAAATGTGTCTCCACAAGCAAGCTTGAGTAGTGGTGGGATGTCACAAAAAAAGTGATTAATTCTGTTAGACCTACAATAAGGCAAAGAGAAAATTTGATAAGTTTGACCAGTCACAACTGGAATAATACTGATCCAACAAGCAGCCACTAGTTGCACACAGACCTTATTGTTCATGAGCAGAGGATAGTGGAGAGGATTGCAAATGGCCACATAGCGGTCATAGGCCATGACTGTCAGTAGGAGGAACTCCATGCCTCCAAGCATGATGACAAAACAGAGTTGTACAGCACAGGAAAAAAATGTAATAGTCCCTTTTTGGGTACAAAGGTCCAGGAGCATCCTTGGGATGGTGACTGTTACATAGCAGATTTCCACAAAAGAAAAGTTGCTCAGAAAAAAGTACATAGGGCTCTGCAGAGCAGGGTCAGTTCTTGTTACTAGCATTATAATGCCATTGCAGATCAGAATAGTCAAATACATGAGCAAAAATATCCCAAACAGCATCCACTGGAGATGGGGGACATCAGAAAATCCTAGGAGAACAAATTCTGTAACTGTATTATTTAAATTTTCTGTTTTACTTTGCTCTTCATCTGTAGATAAAACAAATTCCACATGATTGATGCATTTACTTTTTCAAGTCCACAAGTTTCTTAAGTTGGCTGCATGAGAGGAATGAATATATTCACTTCTTCTTTAACTAGTCATTTAACATAATTTTGCTTTTTAACCACAACATGAGACTTTTAACATCAAAGAGTATTGGTATGTAGTTAAATAAACCCATGACAAGATTTGTTTTACTAGATTCTACTATACTTCAGTAAGGTTTTGAGATGCATACATTATTAACATGGGCACATGTTAATCTTTGTATATCTATGTACTTTGCTCTTAAATGTGAGATTTTACTACAAACTTTTTTTTCTGTTTTTGTGTTTGCATATTGTATTTCTTTTATTTTTATCAATACAAAGTATATAAATTCATAGATTTTATTTGAAGCTCTTCTTTAATTCTTATTCAAAGGAAATTTTAAGAATTTCATTGTGAAATTCCAGGTTGTGATGTTGTGTACAAAGAAACATGGATTCAAGGTTATATCTTTGCAGCTTTCAGTTTGTACCTTGTTACCTTGAAGAGCAGGATTCACATCTCCATAAACTGAAGATAATGTTTAGTGGTTGTGGAAATCCTGGTATGTTTACAACCTTTAAAGACAGAAACAGGGTCTACAGCAAGCTGATATCTAGACTAGCCATCTCCCTGTGTTCTGGGATTGTTCCTGTGATCATAAGTCAGCTAGGTAAGTCGAAGAGCAATTGGTAATTATTCCTAACATCAAAATCTGACTTCCAAGTACACACACAAATAGATATGGAGAAAAACAAGTAACAAAAACAAAAAATACCACATTAAAAATGAGAAATGAAACACACCTTTAATGTCAGCACTCAGGAGACAGAGGCATGCAGATATCTGTGAGTTCGCGGCCAGCCTGGTCTACATACCGAGTTCAAGGACAGCCTCCAAAACAATACAGAGAAACCCTGTCTCGAAAAACCAAAATTAAAAAAAATATATATATCAAAGTTAATTTCCTTAAGGAGTTCTTTCTAGTAAGAAATAAGAATTGCATTACTATATTTATTTCCATAATCCATCACTGTGATAATTATGGTAAACATGACTACTAGATGGTTCTTCTCGAACTTTCTCATATAAAACTACATTCATGCTTCCTTTTTTCATGCCAGATTTTCCTGTTAATGTAATTCACTTGTAACACATGAGTTTTGTCTTATTTCTCTTCGTTAGTATTTATTATAAAACTGTATCTTTCAGCACCCACAATTCACTAACATTCTTCATGATTGTCCAACATACATGACTGTGAACAAAATAACTGACAAAATAAAATGAAACTCTCATATGGATTAGTTGTTCTGTATAATTGAAGAAATCAATAAATCTTGTGACATTTTCTAAAAACTTGTTCTATACCAGGACATGATAAGCATTTATATATTACCTCCCCTAGTGTACCATTTGCCTTCTAGATTATTTCAATGATGCATTTAAATTACCACATTAAAGTAATGGATTTATGGGTCAGCATTAAGAGCAATGCCTACTTTTCCACAGGACCTATTATCAACACTCACAAGGTGGCTCACTAATATCTGCAGCTGTAATTCCAGGAGATCTGATAAGCTCTTTGTCCTCCACAAATAGCAAATATGCATGTGGTACACAGACATATGAGCAATAAAAACATTCAAAAATGTAATAAAAGAAAACTAAAGTAAGGAATTAATGAATGGATATGATCACATGCTCTTGTATTTTAAATTCTCTCTGTGCTCATTTTCGGTAGGTATGCAATCAATTCTTTTACAAAGAACTACTACAGCATTACTACAATTTGACAAATATCTAACTTCACTTAGCAAGGAGAACATAGGTAGGTGATACTTACTTAATGGGTACATCATTTTCAGAATAATATCATGAACTTTTCTGTGGTGTTTTAAGAACACCTTGACCATGAATTTCAGAGCTATTCTTGGTAAACGGTGTAAGAACAAAACTCAAGCTTACCTGTACACATCCACTTGAAATCATAGGTGAAACCAAATGGAAATTTTATCTTTTGTGTTGTACTGCCTCTTGTTTTCCTCAGGCAGCCATACTGATTCTAAGCTAATTATTTTTGATGAAAGATGTGGATTGTTATTAAATAAGGATCATCAACCCCCTGGGGAACATTTCTCTTGTGCATCAACTTAATTTAGGGAGACTATAATGAGTTTCTGAGAAAGTCAAATTAATCAATTCATGCTATTATCAAATTACCTGAATAATTTTATGTTATTTACTATAGGTTTTTACAGTAGCAATCTTTGGATCTAGAAATCACAAGTAGTCTTCATGCATTACACAAACACTTTCTTCTGATGTTTATGACTATGTATTTTATCTATGCTCATACACATGCCAACTTGTGAAAATGCAAAAGATTTTAAAAGGAACATTTGTAACCAAAAATCTAAATGGTGAGATATGAAAGTTCATTGTTTGTGATTTTTGATCAAAAAAGTATTTTTAACTTTGGATCATAGAAACTGAATTAAGTACTGCCCACAATAAAACTGTGATCTCTGTATTATTTATTCCATAAATTCATGTTAAATATCTTTTGATGTGTATGCCATAAATATAGAGTTGAGTTTCATAAGTTAATTTTCTTTGTGTCTATACAGTATTTTGAGCACACATACCTCTATAACCTCCACTTCCTCTTTACTTCCCTTTGGGTTTGGGTATGGGAACCATCTTTTTCTTTGCATGTGTATGTGTGTACATTTTATCTACCTATAAAAATTCAGAATCCACAAGGCAGAGAATGAATACCATTTATGCTAAATTACCCAGGTTTATGTTAATGAGCACCAAGGTTAATTCTATAACATGGCCGTTATGAATTATGGATGCTTGGAAATCTCTATGATCTGTTTATTTATAACTATTTGGTATAGACTCGTATTACTGGGGAGTTTATGGTGGTTCTATTTTCAATTTTTTATTTCTTTGTAATTGAAAATATGTTTTTTCATTTATCTAATTTAGAATCAATATTATTTTACATAACAACCCCAGTACCCCCTCCCTTCCATACTCATATGTCTCTCATCAGCCCCCAATTTCACCCCCCACCCACTCCCCAGGGTGAGGCCTTCCATAGGAGATCATCAAAGTCTGTCACATCATTTGGGGGAGGGCCTAGGTGCTCCTCCATGTATCTGGGCTGAAAGAGTATCCCTCCAAGGGGAATGGGCTCACAAAATCCATTTGTGCACTGGGGTAAATACTCGTTCTACTGGCAAAGGTCCTATAGACTGCCAAGGTCTTCTAACTGAAACACAGTGTGGAGAATCCTAATAAAACCAAAAAGAGGTTCCAGTTAGAATGCCTATTTTCAGTTTTATTAGGATTCTTCATACTGTGTTCCATGATGACAACAAATTTTATTCTCAACAATTCTCTATAAATGTTCTTTTTATTCACATATACACCACATATATGACTACAGTTTTGTTATTGCTATTTGTTTTTTTTTAAATGATGGCAGAATTTCCAAATGACTTGAGGTGAAACCACTATAATCTTGTTTTTCATTTTGGTAAATGCTGAGATGATAGAATTTCTTTCCATTTAATGGCATTGTGTTTGACTTCCTCTAAAAATTAGAAGCTTTCCTACAATACATAACTGCACTCATCAAGATATAGCTTCAATGAGAAAATAATTTACACAGATCATTATTTGTGTAACTTACACAGATAAATGACTGCAAAAGTGCTTATTTAAAGATTCAAATTATATTTTTCATTAAAAATGTATGGGTTGTTTGAAAGTTCCATGCCTGTATACCATGGTTCTTGATCATAATCAACCTTCACCCCAAACCTAGAATTTCTAACCCTTCCACATTTCCATTCTAACTTCATGTCACTTGGTTTTTTAATTACTGTAATTCACTGGGTCAAATTATTGCTTTTGTTTACAGACATCCACTGAGGTATGGTCAATCTACCAGTGGCCATGTCCTCTGAGAAAATGATTATCCCTTCTGAAACAACCATAGACTGCCCACCGATCTTTCCCTGGAGTAGGGCCTCATGATTCTTGCCAAAATCAATTCTAGAATTTTTCTGTCTTGAGGTTGTACAGACAGCCATAGCTGCTCTGGGTTTCTATATGCAACAGTCGTGTCTTGTGCAGAAGAGAGCATGTCAGGGACTCTTTTCTTAGGGTTTTCATTGATGTGAAGAGACACCTTGACAATAGCAATGTTTATAAAGGAAAACATTTAATTGAGTCTGAGTCTTATATTTCAGAAGTTCAGTACATTGTCATCAAGGTGATGAGCATGAAAGCATGCAGGTAGACATGGTGCTAGAGAAGTAGCTGAGAATCCTGCATCTTGCATGTAACAGGAGATTTACCAAGACATTGGGAAGTATACTGAGTATAGGAAATCTCAAAGCCTTCTCCGCACTGACACACTTCCTCCAATAAGGCCATACCCCCACTCCAAAAAGCTCACTAGGAGATTATGGGGGCCAATTACATTGAAACTACCACATTTCACTCTTTGGCTCCATAATATTGTAACAACATCACAATGAAAATGCATGATGGTTCAACATACGAAAATCCATCAACGTAATCCATCATATAAACAAGCTGAAAAACAAAAATCACATGATCATCTCACTAGATGCTGAAAAAGCCTTTGACAAAATCCAACACCCCTTCATGATAAAGGTCTTGGAGAGATCTGGGATAACAGGGACATACTTAAACATAATAAAAGCCATATACAGTAAACCAACAGCCAACATCAAACTAAATGGACAGAAACTCAACGCAATTACTCTAAAATCAGGAACAAAACAAGGCTGTCCACTCTCTCCATACCTTTTCAACATGGTACTTGAAGTTCTAGCTATTGCCATACGACAACAAAGGGGGATCAAGGGGATACAAATTGGGAAGGAAGAGGTCAAACTTTCATTGTTTGCAGACGATATGATAGTTTACATCAATGACCCAAAGAACTCTACCAGGGAACTCTTACAGCTGATTAACACCTTCAGCAAAGTGGCAGGCTACAAGATCAACTCAAGAAAGTCAGTAGCCCTATTATATACAGATGATAAAAGGGCTGAAAGACAAATCAGAGAAACATCACCCTTTACAATTGCCACAAACAACATAAAATACCTTGGGGTAATGCTAACCAAACAAGTGAAAGACCTGTATCGTAAGAACTTTGAATCTTTAAAGAAAGAAATTAAAGAAGCCCTCAGAAAATAGAAAGATCTCCCATACTCTTGGATAGGTAGGATCAATGTAGTAAAAATGGCAATCCTGCCAAAAGCAATCTACAGATTCAATGCTATCCCCATTAAAATCCCAGCACAATTCTTCACAGACCTTGAAAGAACAATAATCAATTTTGTATGGAAAAACAAAAGACCCAGGATAGCCAAAACAACCCTGTTCAACAAGGCAACGTCCGGAGGCATCACCATCCCTGACCTCAAGCTCTATTATAGAGCTATTGTCCTGAAAACAGCTTGGTATTGGCACAAAAATAGACAGGTAGACCAATGGAATCGAATTGAAAATCCGGGTATTAACCCACACACGTACGAACATCTGATCTTTGACAAAGAATCTAAAAATATACAATGGAATAAAGAAAGCATCTTCAACAAATGGTGCTGGCATAATTGGAGACTGGCATGTAGAAGAATGCGGATCGATCCATGTTTATCGCCATGCACAAAACTTAAGTCCAAATGGATCAAAGACCTCAACATAAATCCAGCCACACTGAACCTCATAGAAGAGAAAGTGGGTGGTACCCTTGAACGAATTGGTACAGGAGACAGCTTCCTGAACATAACACCAGTAGCACAGACAGTGAGATCAACAATTAATACATGGGACCTACTGAAACTGAGAAGCTTCTGTAAGGCAAAGGACACAGTCAGCAAGACAAAAAGGCAGCCCACAGAATGGGAAAAAATATTCACTAATCCCACATCTGACAGAGGGTTGATCTCCAAAATTTACAAAGAACTCAAGAAGCAAGTCTCCAAAACAGCAAAGAACCCAATTAAAAAGTGGGCTGCAGAACTAAATAGAGAGTTTTCAATAGAGGAGTCTAAAATGGCTGAGAGGCACTTGAGAAAGTGCTCAACATCCTTAGCCATCCGGGAAATGCAAATCAAAACAACTCTGAGATACCATCTCACTCCTGTCAGAATGGCTAAAATCAAAAACACCAATGACAATTT